GAATCCCCTGCAAAGAACCGTCAGAGTTTTTAGTACATTCAGACGTTTTGTATGTTATTGTTTACTACACATTCCGCAGCAATCTCTCGGTGTTATCAGTATGTAACTGTCAGAGTGGTAATCAAGGTCACTGAGGTTAAGATATACTGGCAGAATGCAAGAGGCTTGGAGAATGCCCTCCATGCCGCGTCCTAAAATTAGCAAAAAATGTTATTAGTCAAAAGTAATGCCAATCAGGGCCTGTTTAGTAGATGAAAGCAGGCGTCAGATGTAACATTTCAAAAATATTTTAGATACAAATAATTATTATGCTTAGGTACACCTGTGCCTTTATACGTTAAGAAAATAATATATATGTATAATTTAGAATATCTCTATTTTGAAGCTCTGATTTATTCCAATTTATAAGAATAGGTGCCGGTGCATGTTTACATGTATGTACAAAATGGTGTTTATGTCTTCCAACTTGTACAATATTCAAGAGCTTGCGCTGAGTACGATACGTTTTTAAAGCAAGACATGCTACTCACTGATAAGTTGATGTTACAGGAGTTTCTAAAACATCGTTTAAAGTCAGCATTTGTGAATGTTAAGCATTTGTTTTTAGACAAGATTTGACTACGATCGTTGAGCAATTCACAGGGCTCACGACGGGTTGAACCGGTCAACAGGGGATGTTTACTCCTCTTCGCCAAATGATTCCTCTTCTGGAGTCTCCAGATGTCCGTATTTTATGCATGCCCTCGTCACTTATTTATATGGTGTATAGATTTCTGAGACTGGTCATTGTTAGTTATCTTCACCTGTTACATAAATACAATCTTTATAGGTCGGTCTTGACTTATCATTGCTAACTGATCATAATACTATGTTATCATCTATCTGTCTAGAATACGTAAGACTACCTGATCATGGATTGACTGTAAATAGCTACATAATATATATTTTTATGTTTTGATAAAGCTCGAAGCAAAATATACAAAGGTCAATCTCGGTTTAATATTATTTTTTTTCATTTAGGGATCTAGAAAGAATATCCTTTTTAAAAGATGTCTGTAGTTTTTGTAGAGCAGCTAACATATCTGTTGAGTAAAGTTTTAAATCACTTAAGCGATTGTTGTCTCTTCGAGCAATTAATTCTTAAATGATTATAAACTCTAATAAAATAACTTACGATTTTCAAGTTCAAGGAGAGAAAATTAAAATGAATCTTCTAAAAAGTTATCAATTACTCGCAATTGATTTTGACAAATTAACAAATGTTGCCGTTATCATCGGAAGACGTAATGTAAATCAAATCGCTAATTTTTCAAATCCCTCCATTCTTGTGCTAGCGGGGACAATAGATGTTTGTCCTGAGCACACGCTGTATCAATGGGGCACTTGTTCCAGATGAAATGTGTTGGAACATCAATGTTGGAAAACCTCAAAGCAATTTGGTCCAGATCCATCATTTCTTAGTAACATATTGTACTCATTTTTTTGTTCAGTTGCTTCAATCAAATTTATCAATTGCCAAGAAGAGATAAGTGAAACTTGAACTTCATAAAAGTAGCCAAGAACCAATTTTTCGACTTAAAAAAATTTACAGTTTTATAAAACACTTAAAAGTACTTTCAGTAACAGTCAAAAGGTAATGCATTTATAAAATTATTTCTAAAGGGATTAAGCATTTTTTCGGCACATTCAGTGAAAAAATATAAAGTATTAGGAAGTCAGCATTAGCCTCGAATGTAAGCATTTGTACATGTATCCCTGCATAAATACCTTAAAGTTTATAATCTAAGACCCGGCATTTAAATGTTTGTATTTAGAAAATCCACTAAACTTTAAAGAATAACTCTAAATGATTAAAACAGATTTCTCTACTACATAAATTAGGTTTAACGTAGCTGTAGAACTGTAGCTCTCTAACTCAAAAAAAAAAAAAAAAAAAAAAATTGGAAAAGGGAAACCCGATTTATTTGTCCAACCCGGAGCTGCAATTACGATTAACATGTATTCGTATAATTAGTTATGTTACTCATCGCAATAAAATAATTTTATAAATAAGTGTATTTATTAATATCATTCATACAAAGAATTCCACACACTTTGAACTATATTAAGTCATTTTTACTACAGATTCGCGTTGTGGTCAGCCATATTATACGTCAGGTATAAATATATGTGAACTGACCGAGTTGTGAGAAATTTATTATAGTGGGTTTAACGTAAAGCTTGATAAACCACAATATAAAATGTCTAGAAGGAGAAGTACCACCCACGATAGGGCAACGTGCGTTCTTCGTCTAACAACTAATGTGAAGTTTGTAATGAAGGACATCTGTACTCTCATGACAAGCATTTGCCTTAAACAGCAGATTTTTGTTCATTAATTAAGAATTCGAATATTGCGCAATAGGATCTTCCTTGTAATTTTTTTTCGTTCTCTTGAACTTAAAATCAACACCAAGAAAAAAAAAAATAAATATTAAAGCAAACAGAATTACTATTTATTAATCTATGTACAGCCGAAATCTCAAAATGAAACATAAATTTTATAATTTTCAATATAAAATATTTGACTTAAGTCTTGCTTTTACTCTGTTTTTCTAAAACAAGACTTTAGAAACTGTGAGCAATGAGCTTAAGAAATTATACCCCCGCCTCCCATATGTTTATCATGGATAAATCCATATTTTGCTCTGGAAAATCCGAAATAAGTGTCCAATCAAAAAGAAAAATAGGAGGTGCACAACTGCATTATACGATAAAGAATCTATGAAAGTATCATTACATTACCTGATCCCACCTCTGACTTTTCAAGTAGGGGGTATAATGATTGTTACTTTTAAAATCGATCAAATTTACAGTACATTTAAAACACACTTAAAATTCAGTATTTTACCAACTTTAAACCAAGATCGTTTTTTCAACCAAGAAATCACGTTTATTTTTTAACCACATATGTCCAACAGGGATGCTAACAAAGTTGTTGGTCAAAAGACGTGATAATTTGATATTGAGCACTATACCAAATATTCCACATCCGGACAACATCAATTTCTACGCAAGGGCGAGCATGCGCCTGAGGAGGTGGACAGTCCACGCGAACCGACAAAACCACCGTGCGTTCTCTACCGAGAACTGTAAAATTTATTATTGTCATTAAGAACAGGTGTATTTTACAACAGTTGTTACACTTCTCATCAGATTAACACATGCATGACCTTTTCATTACAGCTGTCTTCCATGACAGGGAATTCTTGATTTTTGATAAATCATATTTATTGCACATAAGAAAGCAAAGAAGGTTTGTGTATGAAAAATACATACTTTTTTCATAAAAATTATCATCCATAAATAAAAAGTATACAACAATTGATATTGCCGTTCTTAAGAAATTCTTTTAAAAAGTGGTCGAAACTGTACTTGAAATCTGCAAGGAAACAGATTATGGTTAAAAAAAATGTACATTACGAGTTAGATACATCAAGCATGCGAGGAAAGTGATCGCACATTTCCTGTGCAAAATTGTTTTCGACATCTTGGAGTGCTCTTTTGTGACAGAACATGTTTAATTTTTAATTTTTTTTTTAAAAAATGAATAAAGAAATTGTAACAAGCTATCGCAGAATAAATACATGTAGTTATTTATTAGAATATGTAGATCTTATATTTCTTGAAATTAATTTAACGAAGAGCAACATTTCTTCGTATTTTTAGATGAGACTCATGCATGTAAAGTGTATATTTAGAAATTAAGATACTTAATCTTTACTGGAGACTACAAACAGCATTTAACTTAAAGTGACACTAAAAAGAAAAAAAAATCAATCAGTAATACTATACTAAAATAAAAAAAAATGTATTACACTAAAAAAGAAAAAAAGAGACATTAAAATGAATTAATAAATATTGTGGAGCAACATACAGCGTTCACATTACCCCCACTACCCCCATCCGTAAATAGATGTTTTTCAGTCAGTCAATTAGTACATGTACCTACTATAAGAAATAACTACAGTACATATTTACTATACTATACAAATATAAAAAATTAATTCCTCAATGAAACTATTACATAGCATGTGTAGTGAATAATTCAGATATTTTGATTATAGAATTCATGAATATGTCTGCCAAGACATAAAATATATGCATATTACATGTACATATGTGATCGCATTAGATTAAAGAAATCGTTTAGTATATGCATAGACATAATTTATGTATGCTATAACTTAATTTTAAGATGAATAAAATGTTGTTCTTACATAACACTGAGTTTGGTATTTTACATACGTAATTATTTGTGAAAGGGAGTTATCTAATTCAAAGCTGGTCGACAGTGTTATGTCAAGATCAACCGCTGGCTATAACAAAAAATGGTAACATCTGCAGTAAATCGCTGATCTGTCTTAATCTGAAAATCAAATAATTAATATTTTTTATTTGAATTGTTTCTATTTTTTGATATTGTAATGGTAATAATACTTTCTGAAGAAAATTGTGTTGAATAGTTTAAGCTTAAAAAAGAAATGTTTTGCCAAATTAACATTGACAATGATAAAAACAAAGAACGAACACAGGAATAAGACAAAATGAACACAATAAGGGGGAAAATAGATAAAGGAAAGCTTCTTAATTTCTAGGAGTAAAATAAAAAAAAAACCATTTCCTGTTTAAACATTAAATTTTGAAGACATGCATAAAAATACTCTTCTGGAGTGCCAGAAAAGCAAAAGTATCGAATGACTAATAATGAGACCGAAAATTCAGTCTGGCAAACACACTTTTTTACTCATTTAAATTATTAGTCACAAACATATTTTAATAGAGAATAAAATTTAATTAAACTATTTCACCTTGGCCATAATCGTGATTATGTTAATGAGAACGAGTTACAACTAAAAACAGTAAATACGTCATCTAGGAGTTTTACGTTCTCGGAATCCCCGCATTCTCGAGCGCTGATTGGTTAATTAATTATTTACTCGTGTTTTCTGACGGACGTTAACATCTATCATCGTAAGCTGTCCGCTCCCACGAAACTGTATATATACAAAGACGAACTAGCCTACCTGAATCAGACATTCAGCGACAAGTTACTATTAACCATGGCTCCTCTTAGTATTCTTGTTACACTTCTTCTCTGCAGTTTCACAGTAAATGGTATGTATCTTAAGAACTAACTAAAAAACTTTATCAATGAAAAGAAAATAATCTTTCAAAAATTTTAAATAGACGGCAAAATTTTTCAAGTGTTTTAATTTTTTCCCCCAATTATTCTTCATGGTTTAGTTTTAATGAATTTAAATCTTAATATATGTAGGTGTCATTACTAATGAATTGAACTTGGTTTTCAATGTTGCAAAAATAATATTATTTGAATTTCGTATGTTTAAAATGATTTCATCCTCATTCTTTCAGGTCAGGACATGTTTTCCCCGTGGTTATGGAGAGCATTCCCCACCTGTCCACATTTAATGTGTGAGGCCATTCCAGAAAGCATCCCAGAATTCTGTATTGTACCCGGAAATCTCATGTTCCAGGGCTACACGATCTGTAAAAGTTGTGACTTTGTAATTCCGGAATGCTTACCAACAAACGAAAACTTACCAACAGAATCAGGTGCCGTACCTTCACCAGTGGGATCACCAGCCTTAAGACCTGGGATGGCTCCACAACCAGCGGGGGTGCTGCCTTGTTTACACATTTCTTGTCCCTCCCTTACCTCAGTGAACAGGTCATGTATCAAAGAGGGGAACGTCATCGAATTTAACGGTGCCCAGTGCAGGGGTTGCGATATTGTGGACCCATTGTGTGAGGGCTTAAATCTCGACATCTGTCCCAATCACATTGTGGACTGCACAGGTGTTCCTAGTTCAGCACCTAAAAAATGCATCGACCAGAGTGTAATTCAGTATAATAATCGGCCCTGCTTGTCGTGTCCATTTCTGAAAACCACTGAGCCAGGTTGTAACACGCCGGAATTAAGGCGTTGCCCCGGATTACCCTGTGCTGATACCTCTAAAATACCAAGTACATGTTTGAAAGAAGGTCGTATGGTCGTGTTGGGCTCATCTCAGTGTCAGCTCTGTCCGGAAATCGATCCATTCTGTCCGGATCTTAATCTAGCGGTGTGTCCTCATCAATCTTCAGGGTGCGCCAGCCTTCCCGCAGGAATTCCAAAAGAATGTATCGACCAAGAAGTCATTGTTTATCAAAATAACAACTGTCTCACCTGCCCAAAAATTAAACCAGCCACGGCTTGCAGTCAGTATATACCAAGATCTAGTCCACAGGTCCAGCTTTGTCCGGAATCCTTCTGTCCACCACTCACTGGGATTCCACAAAACTGCATCAAAGAGGGCGAAACCTCCAGCTTTGAAGGAGTTCCTTGTAAAAAATGTCCAGTCATCGACCCCTTCTGTCCAGGACTTCATCTACAAATTTGCCAAAATCATATTCTAGACTGTTGGGGAGCACCACGAAATGCTCCTAACCGTTGTAAGTCCCAATCTGTCATCTCCTTTGAAAATCGTGCATGTTTAACATGTCCTTACTTCAAAACCGAAGAACCTGGATGTATAGAGGAAACCTACAACATGTGTCCAGGAATCCAGTGCCCGGATGTTAAAGGGGTACCCTATCGCTGTTTACGGCAACGATCCCAGAATGTTGGACAAGAATGCTCAACACAATGTCCAGAAAGACTTGCAATCCCCGGATGTCCACCAGCACCAAGACGACCAAATCTGTCGCCTGCTACACCAGCTCCACCAGCACAACCAACACCGAGCAGGCCATTTAACCCACGTCTTTGTCCAGCTCTTATGTGTCCTGATAACCCACGTTTAAGAAATGTCCCTGAATCTTGTATCAGGAATGGAGTTATTCAAGGCTTGAACGGTCAGCAATGTCCCGGATGTCCACAGATTGACCCTGCATGTCAACAACAAGAACAGCCGCTTCAGATTTGTGAAAACCTTCGTCCCTCGTGCACACCGATTCCTCAAGGGTTACCATCAAGGTGTTACGAACAAGGAGTTACTACTTATAATGGACAAAGATGCCTTATGTGTCCCGATATTCTGCCTCAATGTATGAGATTCAATGCTTTGAACTAACTTTCTTTAATTGTATAGATATTTGAAATTACCTTAAGAAATCCAATATCTGTGTATATTATATATATTTGTGTTTGTTTCACTTTTGCTTCATCTAAATCATTGCATATATTTTTTTTTTACATTCTTATCTTCATTTTTATATTATTTATTTATGCTTGTTTTACATGCGATGTGATTTTATTTTTTTATGATACAAATTGAATAAAAACTTAAAACAATTTTAATATAGTGTGCTTTTTAAAATATTAGGAAACGGGATTCCTTCAAAATCATCACTTCCAAGACTTTTCCAAGTGAAAATATTCAAAAAGTAAGCGAATCTAGAAATTATCACATAAAATAGTGTATTATATGGCAAATCTATGTGCACTAAAAAAAAAGGATTGAGTAAAGTACACTTAAGGACATACACAAGGTAGTTTGAACTTTTTTTGTATTTTTCGATGGAGTGGAAGAGTTCCATTACTTGAAGGAACTGTGTTCTATATTTTGATTTCTATATGTGGTATTGTACACTTCTTCTAAAACAAGTTTGGATAAGAAAAACATCTAGAATATAATTTTAATAAAATTTTCTTTGAATCATACCAAAATTTTCATCACTGATGTCTTTCAAAAACTCCTGGTAAAGCATGCTGATTTTTTTGTCTATGGACATTTAATGACACAAAAAATTTTAATTGATAATATCTTGAAAATTTATCAGTAGGCAAGATACGTTGCGTATGTCCTTAACACCGAGAAATAAAGGAATGAATTAAACGAATATTTCCTAGAGTATAAACCTAGCTGAAAAAAATTATTTCCGAGGGAGATGTAACTGATTTGATTATCTATTTATAATAATGATTCGGATATTTGATTTAGAAGGACCGCTGCTATCATAAATTTTACTTGGATTCCTGAAGTATAAACAACATACCTTACGTATGACCCCTAGAAAACCCCTGTCATGTGTAACCGATGTACTGACCCTGCAGCTATTATTCATCATCAGCTTGTTTTTTACCGATACAAATCAGACCTATCATTACACCATATTATGAAATACTACTCCGATGATGTTGTCATACCCAGTAATACTTGTGTATCGACAACTTAGTAAATATTTTTAAATACCTTTCTCATCAGAATATATATACTGCTTATACTCAGTAGTCTGACCTTATAGAAATAGGAATTTGATGTGTGTGGCGATTTTTCATCTTTATGACATTTTGACGAACTCGTGTGTCAGAAATGGCTTCCGTGTATATTTTTACGACATTTACTTACAAATTATAGGTGACGTGTATTTTCATAGTGTCCATCACAGAATGATTTAATGCGTTTGCTCACCACCTTATGGGGGCAATTGGAAGTATGCATACCTATATTTCAAGGCCGTAACTAGGCTCAATTTTTAGTGAAGCAATGAATCTGGGACCAACCAGGTCCCGGTGTCGCATAATATTCGTTCCGGGTGTTTCGCGTTCCGGCCGGAACCTTAAAATCATAATATTGGTTCCGGATTTTACTGTAATATAGGTTCCGGCCATGAGATCAATCTTTGAATCGCTGTATCTGTCCAGATTTCATTCCACATTGAGTCATGGAAGTAGTGGGGTTTTTTTCTTGAGGTTTTAGCATGACGCAGCGACATTCTACATGTATTTTCGTGCGTCGCACAATGTTTTGTTCTTACCAATTTTAAAAAATAGATGAATAAATAGCCTGATGATACTCTTTCTGATACATGTATATGACTTTGGTCGCATTATAAGGCTTTGTTTATCTTATGTATACAAATCGGTTATCTACAATTAACTCGATTCCTTTTGTTTATTTAGTGCATGCCAGGTGTGAATCTCTCGCTTCAATGCACGCAAACCCGTAAAGACAGGTAAAGAGCATGGTTAGGAGATAAACAATTTAAGACCGGGATTACGAAAGACTAACATTTAAAGAAACACAATGTCAAAGAATTAATTAATTGATAATTTTTTTTAATTTCAGAATTCGATAAAAGTAAAGAACAAATATTGATAATTATATTTTACGGAATTAAATTCTCTGTTTAAATGATATTACACGTGTTGACATTTCACCAAGTCAGGCTCAAACACGGCTTCCATTCCTCATAATTAAAGATTTTTTTTCATAATTAGATATTATTGATGAAATGGCATGATAATATGGTTTATATTCCATCTGAAATATGTATATGATTCACTGTTGAAGAATGTTACGTATATGGTTTATTATCTTCTTAATTAATCTTCATACTTATATACATGTAGGTACAGTACAGTGGCGGATCCAGAGGGGAGTTACGGGGGTTGCAACCCCCCCCCCCCCTTGGATTTGCAAAAAAGAAAGAGAAATAAGAAAGTTCCAATTTTTTGTTGTGGTTTTACTATAGAAAATGTAAGGTGAAAGGCTAATGTTGTAATATATAAAGAAATTCGGTTGTAAAAACTAAATAAAACCCCATCCCTTTACAAAATAGGATTTTTCAGGTTCGGAGATTTATTTTCCTTTCTTTTTCAAAAACTTTCAGGTAATGTATACAAGTACTTTTTCCCAGATTGATCAACGTCCCACTTTCAAAAACCACACTCCACCCTGTATCGATATTCTATTGAGTTATTTAACTATATGTATGTGTACAACGTACGTTTTAACTGTTTTCGCCTTCACCCCCCCCCCCCCCCTTTTGAAAAATACTTCAACCTCCCCTTTGAAAAATTTCTGGATCCGCGCCTGCAGTACATGTATTTCATGATGATGTGATTTATTCTTTAATGAAATAACATGAAAACATAAGAATATGAGTATGGTTTATTCCCTTTAATACCAAAAAAGCCAAGCACGTGTAATTAATGAAAATGATAATTTTTTTAATCGTCGGAAGAAAAAAAAAAGTAATTGAGATATGAAAAGTAAAGACAATATATGTTAACTGGCTCGGCTTTTTATTTAATACGATCAAGTTTAAAAAAAAAATCTTTTTTTTTTCTTTTACTTTTCTTTCTTCTTTTTTTTTTTTTTTTCTATTTGTCATCGTCGGTTCCGACGATGTCTATTTGTTTGTTTTAAAGGAATTAAAATGCACATTAGTGTTACCTCGAGGAATGTCTTAACCACCAACCGCTTAAGATATGTGGTAAAAAAATATTTCTGCATGGGTGTTTGAATACATAAAACACAATTAAGTTGGTAAAAATATGATCGTTTTAAACATGCCATTCATAGGCGTCGGAACCGGAGGGGGTGGGGGTAGGGAGGCTTAGCCCCCACTTTTTTGCAAAAAAAGACATAATATAGACATCGTACATTGGGGCGTAGGTTTAACCCCCCCACACACACACACACTTTTTCAACCGACACGTTGCAGTTGAGTTTTAAAAATGGGGAAATGGTAGTGTTTGGAAAAAAAAACTGGCACTGGAAGAAGTTCTATCATAACCCCCCCCCCCCCCAACCCCCAACCCCAACCCCCACGAAATAGAATTTTCGTGTATTGACAATTGACACATTTTCTTTTTTTGCTTGTCAAGAATTTTTTTGTAGGTTTAATTTTTTTCTTTCACTTAAGCCCCCCCCTTTCAATTTGCTTCTGACGCCAAAGCCATATATGGCGTAACTGATAAAGAAAATACATTTTTGAAAAATACAAAATTAAGTAAAGAAATATAGTTAGTACATTTAAATTAAAGCTTTTCATACAATTCTGATCACGGAGGACACCTCGTTTCATCTCATAATACGATTTTATCTTCTCTGTAATGTTATTTAAATCTTTTGTATTTTCTTCCGAGAATCCAAATTAAATTGTGATATCTTTATAACGCAATTGACTTAGATTTTGTAATTTACGGAAAAAGGTCTATCTTTATATAAAGAAATGATACAAATAATAAGTTCTTATAATTTTAGTCTAATAATTTTCATTGTACATACGCCATATAATAGAGTTATTTGTGTACAATCTAGTTTACATTTAGCAGAAACAGAAAAACGGAGCTACATGACAATATACAAGTAACTTTTCTTTTTCATAGTTGTTTGTATTATTGGATAAGTATTATAGAAAAGATATAAGGCATACATATAACATCTTTTCTTGTTCTTTGTCCAAGTTGATCAACAAACTCTCTCTTTCTCTCTCTCTTCCACGAAGAGGAAGTCACCTCTATAAACTTTCTTTAATTTTTTGAATATGTGTTGTTTCTCTGCTGTTTTTCTTATTTACATCGGCTTAAACCAATAAACGCAGCAGATTGGTTTAGATCTTTTGAATGTATCCCCCCTATAACTCCGTTTTTGTTCCAATAAAAAACAATCAATTGTATATTTTTATCTACTTAGAAAGGGCTTGAATAAATCTTTTTCAATGTTTTAATCTTTAAATGCATACATGTCAATGAGCGCATTCTTATTAACTGTTCTCTCCATTTCTATTTGTACAGGCATATACATATATTCACACGGTATGATGTTCATAAATGGATTTAGTTCATTAAAGAAATCATTAATTTACAGTAAATAGTTGATTTATTTAAACGAAAAACATTCTTTCTTGTTTTCCTGACACCAGCGTTTCTTAAAATCACCTAAGATATGACATGTCAGCAGTCATCTTAAAGTTAGGACTAAGATTAGGAGGTCTCCTAAGATAGGATAGCTTCGATGGCCTCACTTAAGACTAAGATATGTCGTAAGTTCGTCTTAAAGAGATGTCTTAGTCCTAAGATAGCTTCATAAGCATGCCTGCAGTTTTCATTTTAAATTAAGATTTTACATTCCCATCGAGTTCTAGAGCGGAAATACACGTTTTATCAGAATTAAAGTGAAACGTTTTCTTCTTTTCCAAATAATTATAGTTTTTGAAAGTTCGTAAAAAAAACCCCATTATATCTATAGGAAAAGTCATTCAAAGATGTCTTTTGAAAAATCAGGTAGGCGATAGAACAAACGTTCGCGGTTGCCTTCCCCACTAGGACTCCTTTGTTTGTTGAATACATTCAACAAATTGTTAATTAAAATATAGAAAATTTCATACCAAGCAAATCAAGTTTTTTGTCTATTGTTCACTGCAGGGGAAGGGGGGGGGGGTGAGCAGACTTCACAATGCTATTCATATAAATAGTAAAATACAGATCTGTGTCTGTAATACATTTCTTCTTCAGTGTTATTTTTACAAATGAAAACAAATGTACTTGTACTTTCGTGCATAAATAAAAATGAGTTGAATTTTATTCAAAAGTTTTTAGCCGTGTCATTGAAACATTTCCAAGTTGATCATGTGCATGTTTTGTTGACATATAACATTAAAATAAAAAATAAAAAAAAAAAAAAAACTTCACCTGACGAAGAAAAATAATCAACAAACGGGAAACACTTTTCCTTCGTATTAAATGCTAAAATTATAAATTCCCTTTTTAGATCCGGCATGCACTCGTTTCCCATTATGTTCTTGTATTTTAATTTATTAATATAATTATTTGGTTTAAAAAAACGCAACTACATGTATGGGTGTTTAAAAAAATTGTAAGGAAATTAAAATATTACCTAATAATTAAAGTATTTTATCGTAAATATAATTAATCTATCAACATTATCATCTGATCAGAGTGGTCATGTGTGCTTACGGCGATTCGCAAGACTGCGCAATTATTCGTATCGATAGAAGCCAAGTGTGTCGTAAAACAGCACGATGGGGGTATGTAAACAAGTTTCACACCTTCTTTTGTTTACAAAGAATCAAAATAATCAACTGGAATTTCGTGGATTAATATATTTAAATCAGAGGCATCAATAAATATATAATGTCTCTGGTAAAAAGACCGCATATTTCTGACTTGAAATGTAAACATATATGTTGTCTTACGATTAAATCCTGCTGTATCATATACGAAGGTATAAAAGAAAGAAGAAAATTAAAATTAACAGCCAATATTAGATATAAATAGAGAGTTTAATAGGGTGCTTGGTTGCCCGGAACGTTTTTTACGGCCGGAACCAATCTTACGCGGGCCGGAACGTTTATTATGGCCCGGAACCAATATTATAGGTATTTAGCGTTCCGACCGGAACGCTAAGTTACCCGGAACGTATATTATGCGACACCGGGCAGGTCCATGGTAATTTCTGATGAGGGTTTTGGGAGGGAGGGAGAGTTCCAGGAACCTAGGTTTAAAAAATTAAAGACTTGATCTTTGAATTTTTTTTTTTTTACGTTTTTAATTGTCGCCCACGGAGTAGTGGTTTGAGTGTTTACAATGGTGTCGCTCAGTAAGGAGTTGATTCTTACGTCGACGTCGCAGGTTCGAATCCGACTGCAGAATTTTGGAGACCAGTCCTTCGGATGAGAGCTAAAACCTAGTTCTCGTTTTGCAGTATGATATAAAAGGTATGCTGGCAGAAAAAGATCCCTCACTGCACAATGACCATGATGGGTGTCGAGTTCTAAAATTTGCAGCCCTCCGCAATCAAGTGTTGGCGACTCAGTATGAGTGAAAAATTCTCGGAAGAAACGTTAAACATACAAACAAATATTTTGAATTATTTTTTGCATAACAATAAACATGATGAGATGATCTATTTAATTTAACTGAAACCAAATCTGAAATTAAATAATGAGTTTACATGTAGTACTACATGTAAGACAGATATAAGGTAAAAAAAAATTCACTTTTCAGAATACTCTAAATTTTTAGTGAGTCATTTCCCTCACTTGTCTCAAAAGTAGTTACGGCATTTTATTTTAATTTTTAACAGAAATGGATGAAATTATGAAAATACACATATCTCCATTTTCGTATCTACATGCAGCGAAAAAAATCAGATTTATTTTTCAAAAAATGAATGATTTAAATTACTTAACCTTCATGGAAGTCGGTAAAAAAAATTGTTTTTATCTCTCGGATATATTAGATAAAGGAGACCGGTCCATCGGATGACCTGGCGTGAAAAAAATTCCCCATAAATGATTCCTCAATGGCCCTAAGTGCCGAGCATGGGACATTTGCTCCATATGAGTGAAAAATTCTTCACTGTAAAAAAACAACAAGTTAATGTCACGAAGAAAACTAGTAGATTCACTGTCCATAGAATCACTACCTTAATAGTAGTTTTACCAGATATTGGTATATATTTACTAGATAAGATTAGTAAATTTAGAATTGATGAGTAGCTTTCACTAGGTATCTAAGTATCTATACGACCCCCGCTCCACAACTCACTATCTTAACCAGTAAACTGAAAGTTTACTAATCACGACCAACGCTTTACGAAACACACTAGTTAAATTCACTAGGTTTTTCTTTCAGTGTTGAGAGAGACGTTATATAAACAAAATACAAACAAACAAACATACGATGGCGACCATGCTCTCTTTCTTCGATCACGCATCGGATATCTTCTGGTTGGGTCTACAAGTTTCACAAGAGCTTCGTTCAAAATCATAACATAACGGTCAACTTAGCACCTAGATTGTAAGTATCGTTTTCTATTGAAGGGACACCAAGTCTAGTCTACAAATCTTAAAACCCTAATTTCAGTGCAGAATGGTTATATTAAATGTACTGTAGCGCCATTTTTTGATATGATTTTTAACTAAGCTGCCGGTATGTGTGTAAAATCTAAAAGTACATGTACTTGACAAAAAAGTTTTAGACTTTAACCAACCTCGTTAAAACAAAGGATCGTAAATAGTTTTCAGAGTGGAACAAAACAATCAGAAATTACAAAGTGCCTAGGACTAAACCAATGTACAGTTTGTGCAGTGATACATGTATCAGGAACGGGGAAAAAGAAAGAAAAAACTGCAGGACGAACGATCAATTTTGAGGTTAGTAAAACAAATCTGTCGAACCTCGGAAAGAAATAACTGCCAGCTCCAACCAGTTTCGGGGAAATACTGTTTCAGAAGTATTTGTGAAGAGATGTTTGCTTCGAAATAAATACATGTATAACAGACGAGTCGTAAGAGAAAAACATACGAAACCGAGATGTGAACGTAAAAAACAAGTAGAGTGGGCCAAGGGGAAAAGGCATTGACTGGAATCGTGTAATTATTTCTGATGAATGTTTATTTAATTCAATTTTGTTTTAGCTTTAACAGGCTAAAAGTAATGAATTGTGTGAGTTTTTTTTCAGATTTTAAAATGCAGTTTTCTTTTGAATTGCGAAATTCTTACTGTGTTTCTGACAATGTTGCCTTTCGTATATACGCCTCTGTCAAAACATAAATTAAAGCTAATCGGACACACGCAATAATACATATATCAAAATGTTGTTCTCTGATAATCTTCAATATATAGGTTGCAATTTGTCAGAGATATGAGGGAAATGACCAACATAGGTATGTATAAATGAAAAATTTTGATCTCAATGATTCTAGTCTGTTTGCTGGAATATTATTCATGTTTGCGAAAGGATATTATTGCAGCTACTTGACGAAGAAGGACGTGCATTTTGCAAAGTAAAACATTCCAAGATAATAGAAACGTGAACATTTGTGTAAAGTTGTATTTGTTCTGAATAAGGCATATCGCAAAGATTAAATTAACCTATATTCGCTTTGAATGAAAATGACGAATAGTGACGATAATAAAAATTCTACAAACATTGTGCGTATATAAGTCTGTTAAAATGGCAAAAACACGGACCCTGTAAATCACAGAGGTGGGATCAGATGTCTTGGAGGAGGAAGCATCCCCTGTTGACCAACACATCCGTCGTGTGCTAATTTACTAGTATTGATCAAGTAGACAGAACATTCCATAGTCAAATTTAACACAAATGTTAAACAAAGCTTTACAATTTATATGACATACATTATTCAAAATACAATCTTATAGTAGGTTGGGGTTGCTTACAAGGTCATTAAATCGACCATAGAACATAAAGAACATCCAAAATTTGAACAAATAAAAATTACTAGTATATAAAACAGTCGATACGGCAACATCTTTTGCAACATATACTTTCTTTTAGGAAATAATATACCGTTTGTTTCAGTGCTCATAATTCTTCTGACAGTGCTGTTAAGAAGCTGTGACTCAGAATGGACATGGGTAAACGATTACGATCAACATTTCCGATTTGAGTGTACAATGGGTCAATACCTAAGCGGCGTGCAGAGTGCTTTCAGCGACTATCACCATGACCGGAAATTTAGAGTTCAATGTACCCCTGATTATCGGTCCTATATTCATTACTCCTACTGCAGTTGGACAGGTATTCGAACCAAAGGTTTATCGCGTAACATCATGAAAAATACCCAGAAGAATTGTTCTTTGTTTGCTAAATATTTTCTGTTGCAGATTATGCTAATGAAATGGACATGCCTTTAATTTTTCAATGCCGAGACGGGGGACTTATAAGCGGAATAGAGAGTTTCCATGACAACCACTTCGAGGACAGAAAGTTTAAATTTAAATGTTGTCATTATAAATGTAAGTAGACAATATGTATGTTCCTATTTATGCTATTGTCATCTGTCAAAATGCTTTCTCTCATTTTCTAAAAAAGTGTTCACGTTATGTTGAAGGTTTTTTTTTGTTTTTAAATTTTAAGTGATAAGACACTACAATACTCAGAGTAAGAGAATTTATCATTTAATGTCAAAAAAGAAAAATAACTAATGATTTTTTTTCTGGCTTTGTTGTTCAAATGTATATTATATTCAAATCTTTTCAGTCATTGGCCACTCTCTGTTTTAGCAAATTAAGTATGGATTTTTTTTCATAAATTAAGCTTAAGTTATAATTTAATAAATGTTCAGCTGAAAATTCAATTGATAGGTTTATTTTTCATTATAATAAGATTTTTTTTTAATGTGATGGAATTCTCATTGCTTCCTATTTAAAACAAGCAGGTGGATATAAGTACAAAAAGTAAATTTCAAATTATATTTGCTGCCACCTACAGAGTGAAAATTCAATGTAGCAGGACTAAACATCACAATTTGGACCATATTTTTTTATTCTAGATTAACAACATGTATATTCCTTTGAAGCATCCTTAATATTAAAAACACACAGGTAGCCGCCAAGACAGACCAATTCTTATGATATCGTTATCATTTTAAGATCGTGTTTCCTACAAAAATATGAGTGCAAGCTAAACATATATCTTTCATTCCAATAGAAAATTGTCGTTTGTTGTACATTTTAGATCTAATTTGAAGTACAGAAAGTAATGTAAAAAACTAATTGAAAGGCTAATTTAGATTTTCCCCGACAGATATGTGTACATACGACTGCTTCTACACAGGATGGTTGAACTCATTTGGAGCATATTACAGTTATGAAGTTCCACATAACCATTTCGTGAGAGGAATTGTCAGTTTACATAATAATGTCCCAGAGTGAGTAATGTTGTGATTTTATATTTTTGCAGCATTGAAAAGTCTTTTTTATTGGCACAATTAATATTTATTTCCAGTCTAATAAAATAACAACCCGTTTAGTTTTTTTTCTTTCAAATTTTAGCCTTTGTTTTTTTTTTCCTCCCAAAATTTGATAACGAATTATTTCGTCTATATAATCAACAAGTGTGACTGGTTGACAATAACAACTCTCTTCCGTATATAAGTTTTTTTATCTTAATTTTACTTTATATGTAGCTTTTTGTACAGCTATATATCTCTCTTTGATAAAATGCTGTTAATATATCATAAAAATATCGTTTTCCCGCCATTTTAGCATATAATCAACAAGTGTGACTGGTTGCACTGCGCTCTATGTTTCCCATAAGAAAAATCATCAAGAAAAAGGCATACTTTTTTGTTACGTACCTAATGTCATTTACAGCTAGTGAGTGCATATAATTGTGAAAAATATATTGGAAATATTTCTTATAATCTCTCTTAAATATCAATTAAACATATTTGAAATTTTAAAATGTTGGTTGGCATCATATATACTCCTTTAAATGGGTTCATATGCTATACTCTGATCAGAGAATCGTTTTGTTCAGTTTATTTTTTAGATGATCACTGTTATTTCCCCCAGTTTTAAAGAAAGATGAGGTAAAATAATAAGGGTTTCCTCGTACAGTCACGTGATATAGTGCTGCAAAAAGTAAAAAAAGAGTTGAAATGTCTATGGATCTACAACGTGAAGGGGGTTCATTTTATATAATAAATTAAACGTATTCGAGACAATGAAAGTCATCAATAAAAACACAACCCCTCTCAAATATATTCAGCATATGTTTAAACTACATCATTAAAAATGCTAACGCTTAATCGCTTAATTAAACAAATCAAATCCTTCTAATTTTTTTTAGAGACAGAGTCTTTGATTTTGAAGTATGTTCCATTAACTTTGATTGTGACCACACTTCTCCGACAACTACCACATCTACCACCACCACCACCACCCCCAGACCTACCACCGCCAGAACCACTTATGACGTGTTTCTGCTTTCCATGGTGCATGGAGACCCCCAGAAGTCTGTGCCGATCTTAGGAAGAAGGTCACGTGCATAAAATCTTCGCAAAAATTCTATACTTAGAAAATAAATTTACCAGAAATTATCTAAAACTATTTTTAACAAAATATAAAACCCATGCTTTCATGTTTTTCTTTCAATTTTCCCTCTGCTTGTGGTCTTAGAATTCAAGTGAGTAAATGTTTTTTTTTACATAGGTTATTTTAATTAGAGAGTATGGGAATATATACTCAAAGGAAAAGGAAAAGAGGCAAAAATACTGGTATGCAAATTACTGAAAGTCACCAATTGTGCTATTATGGCTCGTGAGCTCGTCAACTTTGTTTCCGATCTCTCACTTACACAGGTACACATGTGCGAAGTGTATCTAATTTTTCAGCATGTTAACCGCAAGCCCAACAAAACTAGAGTTTTCAAGACTTTCCCTTAAAAATCATATTATCCTACCCGACTCCATAAAGTTCATTTTCCAGAAACCGAATATCTCTGGGACTATTGATTGTTTGTTCTTTAATGTCTTGTGTGACAATTCACTCAGAGCCATTGAACAATCAGGGATCTTGATCATGCCAACGCCTGCCGTGACCAAGGGCTTCCGTTTTTAAGGTCTTATCTTTTCAATCACTGGCATTTGTTTTGTTTATGGGACATCCCTACTTATCTTCACCACAAATAAGTAGGGGTTGCCACGTTTACGAAACACAATAATTATTAGTAAAAGAAAAATAAGTAGGGGTGCCCCATAAGTCCCTGTGCTTTCAATTCAAATGCCGAGCTCTTGGAGCGGTAGTTTCTAATTTTATTGGCTTAAGTCAGTCGTGGCCGGGGCTTCCGATTTCACCCTCTCTGGGACTCAACGAGTTTTGAAGGCGTTGGCATATTTTAGCTTCTCTCGACCGATGTCTTTTTAAGAATTGATTATAATAACGAGAAAGTTGATGAACTCTATGCAATGAGAACGAAGGCTGTGTTAGATGCACAGCGGAAGCATGGGAGACATTTTTTATTACTTTTGGGTACTTTTACAAAACCATAATTTATCTGTTAAAATCATATGAGATTTTGGCTTTACGTTGAAGAGAGATAAACTTTAATTCAACAAAACAATGCTGAAAAATACATTCGAAAAATTAACATTAAATCACCTTCAAAATTTACCCCGCAAAAATGCACACTACTGGACTTGTTTCGGATGCATGATCTGAAGTAAATTTTCCAGATTAGAGAGGAGGTTAGTTTTTGGAGCAGTTGTTTATAAAAGAGACTACAGCTCCTACGTTAATCAAATCAATTTGCAATAAAGATTCCTTTATTGATGCAATAAGTTGCGTTAAATGCTGGATTTGACCTATATTTTCCAAATTGAAGTTTTTAAATAAAGTTATTACGAAGAAACAGTAAGGTTTATCACAACCAAACCTACAGGGATGAGGCATCAAGGGGATTAACACTCTCACAATTGCTTCAGATGCTGCATTTGGCTTAAATGCAAGCCCAATCAGAGGAAAATTGCATACATTTTGCATTGAGGGAAGAACTCCACCAGAATACATATTAGAATGGGACTTGGTTTTTACAACTTTGTTTGAAGTAAAAAGTTAAATCTCCAATTACCTATTTGTTCCTTTGTAAGAATAAAACAATATCGAAACTCCAAAACAAGGATACTTTTATTTGGATCCAATGTGAAGATATTTGAAATGACAAAAAGTATAAAAATTGAAACAACGAGATAAAATGTACGGTATCTTTCTATACCAGTATGGTGAAATCAAAAGGTTATTGCAATTAATTGTTCAAATTTTACTTAGCTTCTTTATTCATTTACATCGCTTATTTTACAAGTTGCTTTCCTTTAAAAATTTTTTTAAAAACTCGTCTGTGCATCAACAAATACTATTCAGTAGTAAGGGTAGAGTTCGTACCCACGGTTTACGTGGTACCGCTTATTCCAACTCCCACGCTTCTCAGCACACCTAGAAAAATAAAATGGATAACTAGCATTAATAATCTATGTACATGTACATATATAAATATCGGGGAATTTGAAATCACTACAGTAAAATGGTACATTAAACGGTCAGATTACAAGATGTATGTAAAAGGAATGTGTAATTTGTGAAGAAATTACCAAAGGAATATTCAGAATTCAATGTTATGTAGATTTCCAATAGTTATGTGGTTATATATCAAATGACATTTTTTCTTCTTATACAATTTATATAATTCGGTTCATTTAAATTCTGGAAATACTTTCAAATGAATAAAACTTTTTTTCTGCAAAAAAAATTATCAATCCAAAATCAAACCTCATAGGTATGCCTTGAAAATTCAGGTCTAGGGGCATTAAACAATAATCGACTGTTAAGTACAAACGGTCGTGTCGATAATAAAAGGGCATACGACAATGAAAACAGACTGAGATTTCATGATGGATCAGACAACCCAATAAGATAAAATCATCGAGCAACAAAATGAAGATTTAATAGTGGAGCAGAAAATCCATAGAGCATTATAATTTAATACTTACAGTATTAGTTGAGACAATTCATAGAACATAAATCATTCAACTATACAGTCAGAAACGTTAGGTGGAGCGGGCAATACACAAGGCTTAAATCATTCAGGAACAAACTGTTATATTTTCTGTTGAGAAGATTATCGCAGGATATAAAACACACAATCCAGACTGAGATACGGTTAAGCAGACAATTCCTAGGACACATGACAAATAGAAACTGAAATACTAGCGGTCGGGCAGACAATGTACAAGACAAAAACATTCAGGAACAAACTCTAAACAATTATCAGAATGGAACAGGCAATACAAGGGTCATAAAGCAGCAAAGATCGAAATACGGTGGAGCAAAGGGAACAAAACATTCAACTTAAGACTGAGATACAAACATTGAAATAGGCAGCCTACAGAACAACTAGAGACTTGGAAAATTTCAGTAGAACAGAAAATTCAACATAAGAACAGAAACTTCAACTATAGATTGAGATACTTAATGGACATTCAACTACACACTTAGATACTTATAGAACATTCAATCTGAGATGGAGATACTTATAAAGCATAAACTAGAGACTGATATTCGTATGTAGAACATCCGACTACAGACTGATATACTTATGGAGCTTTACATTACACTATAAGATACTTACGGTGGAATAGGCAAGTCACAGGACAAGAAACAATCAGCAAATTTATTACAACATTCCTCCTCATTACGACGCTTACAGGAAAACAGATCTTTCATGCAGGCATAGGAACATGAGCGTTTAGAGATCACTTCTGTTGGCATTAAGGACATCATGACAAGTGACAGAGAAAGGATTGTTAAAAGAGGACCTGGCATCTGAAAAAGAAGGAAAAACATAAAACAACTCTTTATAAATATTTAGCTGTTGTCTTTATGCGGGGTGAATGTGAAACAAAAAAAAAAGAAAAAAAAAGGGGAAGGAAAAAGAACGTGGCAAAAGTCATTTATTTGAATGTTAAATATCACGGTTAGATAAGAAAAATCATAAGGAGCCATGTCGAACATGTTAATTTTTCTAGTTTCTTCAACAAAATATTTATTATTGATCTAAATGAAATCAACTTTATGCGTATTTTTAAAAAGGATATGCCAAATGTTAAATCGTATTGCAACAAACAATAGTTAAGAGTCGTTATCTATGTAATTATTGGCATTACATGAAACACCTGTTAAAAGGGTGAAACAAATAAAAATGGATTACATTTAGCATTTGCTGTTTTAGTGACTCCTGGTTACTCTTATTTGTCACGCAGGTATCTCATTCGTCACATTCTATATACAAAAAAAAACCCTTAGAGAGAGAGGCACATTCAATTTACTAATGAAACATATACAGGCACTTGAATGCATAATTGATTACATTTAGCACGGATGTTAGCTCTTCAAGATATACCCAAATGAAAATGAAAGCGCCGCATCTGATGACAGATAATGTCAGTAGTACCTAAAACCTCAAAAAGACGCGAGCTTTGTCCCTGAAGTTTACACGTGTTAATGTGGAATGTGCTAAGTGCCTATCTCTTCGACATTTGCCTACCCCTATGGGAACATTGTTCCTTCACATTAATGGTTTTTTTCTGCCGCTTGGGTTCTGACTTTAAAAGCATACTTTTTGATAATTTTAAGCTTTTATAAAGACTACAGAAAAAAGTAACAGAATAACAGTGTTAATTCATATTTTTTGTTTGTTGTTTAATGTCTTTCTAGAGATTTTTTCACGCATTTAGAAAAAGCACAACTTGCAGTTTGAGGGCTGTAAATTTATACCTCTGTTCGGCACTCAGGGTCATTGAGAAGTGAGGGATTATTTTCCATGCCAAAAAAACTACTGCTACACGGAACCTTGGTTTATACAATCTCATCCGAAGAACCAATTTTCACACCCTGCAGTGGATTCGAAACAGTTTCGTAAGGATTAAGTCCTAGTTCTCGACTCTAGAGCAGACACTCTACCACTGCGTCCCGGGGCAATGAAAATTCCTTTTCTCAAAATTGTGGAAAAATATTGTAAAAAGTTAATATTTTTAGCACATATTTTTAGTACCATACATATATGAATTTAATATCATAAATACACTAACAACAGTTTAAAAGTCACATAGTTAACATATTGTCAGCATTCACTTTAACAACTTGTAATTAAAAAGATATTAAAGTAACGATAAAACTTTAAGAAAGGTTGTCTTTAAACAACATTCCTGTAGCATCAGTTCATTTGTCAGCAGCTTAAAAATGGGTCCTGGGTATCAAATCAACCATGAGATATAAACATCATATGCAGATAATAATGGTAAGTTACTACATAAGGTATATTGATGCCAGAAAAGTAAGAGTAATTGCGAGGGCTGTTCAATCAATAATGTCCTCCGTGCTCGGACAGAAGCAAAAGACAGTTTCAATGATTTAGTCTTAATGGTTTAACTTCAATATTGTCTTTTAATTCAAACACATGCCTGTAACATTTTTATCCAATTTCTGATTGTTCTTAGAACTCATTTTTGAGTATGACCCTTCGTATACTGGAATATGGCAGATCCTATGATTTTCTACTTGCTTCTTCTTTTT